CAACATATTAACATGGATCTTTTCAACCTATTTTATATTCACTCCACTATTCTTAAGAAAATTTTCAAAAAGTTGCCAAATATAGAATTGTTTCTAGTAAATCATACTTAATTTTGAAGTTCTTAATAGTTGAGTCAGTAAAGAGAATGGTAACTTTATTAGTATAGATAGTAATCTTCAATTATTTTAAGTATTTATTAGTATTCATATCTTCAAGAATTTCATTCATGTACCTCTCTTTTACTCCGTGTCACGTTATGTCTTTCTATAATAGAATTCTTAAGACTATAAGCCCCCAATTGAAATAAACTCAAAGGACTAAAACTCAAACTTGTTAAACTATTGGACCAATTTTGTTATGAAATCCTTAAAATAAATTATATCATCTCTATACGAAGAATAAAGTTTATTCTCATTTGCTCAATGAGCTATATTTCGTTGCTATTATAAAATCATATGATGCGTACACGAGGGGCTCCAAATCAGGTGCCATTAATTATCTAAATGATATTAGATTTTAAAGGGTAGGAAAGTTATCTAATTTATAATCAAATAAATTACAAGGATATGGAAATAGTAATAAATGGAAATAAAATATCAAATATAATATATATGGTAAACTATAATTTATTACTAAATACCCTTAACACTCCACCGTAAGCTAAACGTCGGATTTAAACGAACGTGAAGCTTGAATCTGAAAAATTCAAAGAGGTTGAGAAACACTTTTCGTNCGCATTATAGCCACACAACTTTTGAACACTCTCCACATCGACTAGTATCTGAAAAAGAAAAGATAAAAGGATGAGTACAAAAATATTCCATAAACAATCTATTTGTAGACTCCAATAGCATCTAGTTCCTAACAGGTCTTCCTGCATTTTTTTTTTTGGACAACTATCACTAGTTATCATCAAAAAACCCCTACTTTAGAATATTCTTTCATCAACACTTGATAAAGGAAGAATAAAGTTTTCTCGTCTTTTTTTGCAGTTTTCTCGTCTTTTTTTGTAGTTTTCTTTCACTTCAGTATATCCTCTATCGATAATCTTTCACAAATTATGCGAGTCGAGTAACACTTTTATTTGAATTCTCCATCGACTATATGTCACAACTCAAATTTTAAATCTTCAAAATCCTAACAGAGACTATAAAAGATGACAGTGAAAACAAATAAAAACAAAAAGTAAAAGAAAATAAAATAAGAAAATGCAATAAAACTATAATCAAAATAAAATCGAACAACACCATGTTAAAGTACAAACTTACGTACAATTATAAGACGATGTTGCTCAAATTTATTAAAAACGGGAAATGAGTTTGGGATACAGTTATAAAACGAAGTACAAGACTCTCTTGTGACCGCGCAGCTTTCGAACACTCCTCTACCTCGACCGATACTTGAAAAAGAAAAAGAGAAAAAAGTGAGTATATAAATACATAGTAAGCAACCTCCTTGTTGGCTCTTTTCACGTCTATTTCTTAATAAGTTTCTATCTCTCCATCTCTAGTAAGTTTGGGCCTATTCTTATAACCAATTGAGCTTCTATGTAGGACACAAAGATCCAAACGGTTCATCATGTGCCAACTACCTATGTAGCCCCAAGTCTCTTCCAAGACTGATTAATAGAATCGGGACGTCAATCTCGACCGTTTCTATGCTCAATAGAAATTCTCATCTTGACACCTACCCTTACAGTCTCAAGTCTCTTCCAAGACTAGTTTACGGGTTCACCCATTTGCACTGGATAACAATGCCATGAGCGATATCATTTCCCTAACATTGGACTACTAGATTCTTATTTGATTACATCTCTATTGCGATCTTGGTTTTTTTTTCTCCTCGAGAATTATGGAGTCTAAAATTTTGAACGTATCTAGTTTAGTATGGTCTACTTTAAACATATATTTTAGGTCTACTACTAACTCACCATATAATTCAATTAATCAAACTATACACAATTGATATATATAATTTTCAACAATTGTGCTCATTTTTATCACAATATTATATTTTGGTGACTCAAAAGCCACCAATCCCTCTACTTTCATTACTCATCTTGAAGAATGGGTAATTTAACCCGAAATTTAGTCCTTATAATTTAAGTTTCAATTTTTTTTTTAATGTCGAACTTCGGGTTTGGTACCTGATAGTTTTGGCGTTTTCCCGTATTATCTATGTTATGATCTACTTACTCTTCACTTCTAAGAGTAAAGACTATCTCAACATATTAACATGGATCTTTTCAACCTATTTTATATTCACTCCACTATTCTTAAGAAAATTTTCAAAAAGTTGCCAAATATAGAATTGTTTCTAGTAAATCATACTTAATTTTGAAGTTCTTAATAGTTGAGTCAGTAAAGAGAATGGTAACTTTATTAGTATAGATAGTAATCTTCAATTATTTTAAGTATTTATTAGTATTCATATCTTCAAGAATTTCATTCATGTACCTCTCTTTTACTCCGTGTCACGTTATGTCTTTCTATAATAGAATTCTTAAGACTATAAGCCCCCAATTGAAATAAACTCAAAGGACTAAAACTCAAACTTGTTAAACTATTGGACCAATTTTGTTATGAAATCCTTAAAATAAATTATATCATCTCTATACGAAGAATAAAGTTTATTCTCATTTGCTCAATGAGCTATATTTCGTTGCTATTATAAAATCATATGATGCGTACACGAGGGGCTCCAAATCAGGTGCCATTAATTATCTAAATGATATTAGATTTTAAAGGGTAGGAAAGTTATCTAATTTATAATCAAATAAATTACAAGGATATGGAAATAGTAATAAATGGAAATAAAATATCAAATATAATATATATGGTAAACTATAATTTATTACTAAATACCCTTAACACTCCACCGTAAGCTAAACGTCGGATTTAAACGAACGTGAAGCTTGAATCTGAAAAATTCAAAGAGGTTGAGAAACACTTTTCGTGAAGATGTCAACAACCTGGTTCAGAGGAGGCGTAGAGAAACACTTTCTTGGCCATCGAAAGCTGCAAAGGGAATGTCACTCAGCGGCGATGCTGCCTTGACTTCGGCGAGAATATGTCTAACCCATGAAGAGGGATCGTCGCTTACCGACAATGCTGCCTTGGCTCTGGTGAGAATATGTCAACCCAAAAAGTAGAAGGAAAAACCTAGAGCAAGGGATAAAGACAATGTTGAAGCCAGAAGAGTTGCCATAGTGGGCGAAGGAGCCAATTTTGGCTAGAAGGGTGGCGGCGACTTGGTTGGCGAAGAGGCCAGTGCAGCGCCCAAATTCGAAAGATAAATCTCTGCAGAATGTTGATAGGTTTAGGTTAGGGTTTATGTGAAGGATGAAGGGAAGATTGAGAAGAGAATGAAAGAGACTATATTGGTCGAGGGAAAATCGATTGTGTTGAAGGTAAGGTTGTATGTACAAAGTATGGCGAAGGGTGATTTGGAGGTCAAAAGGCTGGAGCCGAAGAGTAATCAATCGGCTCTGCATGTGGCAGCCATGGCGACTGCCCCTGTGGTGTCGAAGCCAGCAGTGGTGGGTGGAGAAGAATAGTAGAAGATTTCAAAAGCCATTGAAAAGAAAGGATCAAAGTTGTTAAACCGAAACGTGTCTGATACCATGAGAATGTTTGATTAATCTACCACACTTAAATGTATGAAAGTTATCTTATTTATAATCAAATAAATTACTAGTAATAAATGGAAATAACAATGCCTAGGGTGATAAGGCAAATATTAATAAAATATCAAATATAATATATATGGTAAACTATAATTTATTACTAAATATCCTTAACAATCTCACTACTTAATATATATATATATATATATATTAATTGATTATGTGATAGAATGAGTGATGATGGATGAATTCAAGTTCACGAAATGTCGGATTTTCTGTTAGACGAATCGCAAATACGTTGATGTAATAAAGTGGTATTAGATAGTCAATTTTCTAGTGCAAATCTTCCACCAAAAGTTTCGTACTTTTCTGAGCTGCTCCAGTCGTTTGTTCTGTACTTTGTTTATGTAGTTGAAAATGATATTATTGGTTGTCTTTTACTGCACCAAGAAATCGTTCCTCAACCAAACTTGAACATAGACCTAGTGGTTGATTTTTGGATATCGTGGTCTACTGCATAGCCAGCATCACAATATCCAATTAGCTTGCTATTTTCGCTTCTTTTGTACAAAATTTCATAGTCGATTATATCAAAATCCGTCGAGCCGCATCCAAATGAAGCTTCTTTGGATTTTGCATGTACCGACTCATGACTCCAATTGCATAAGAAATATTAGGCCGAGTTAAAGTTAAGTAGACAAGGCTACCTACTAGTTGTTGGTATATTATTTCATCATTCCACTCTTTATGCTCTATGTGCACAAATCTTAACATTTTTCTCCATGAGTGTTGAAACTTGCTTGCATTCCAACGTGCTGAACTTCTAAAACATATCTCTTGTATACTTTTGTTGGCAGAGAAACAATCTGCGATCAACTTCTAGGCTCAAGAAGTGTTTAAGCTCTCCTAACTCTTTCATCTAAAAACACACCAATAAATATTCTCTTGTTTGATGAATTTCACTTTCATCATCCATGGTGATAATCAAATCATCCACAAACCAACACAATTGCCAATTTTCCTCCTATTTCTTTGATGAACAAGCTTGAGTTTCCGTGTAGAATTAAATAATCATTTTGGGTAATAAATTCAACATTCTTACCATACCAATATATTTATATTTATATATAAAAAGTGGGGCGAGGCAAGAATTTAGACAAAGTCGGGGGCGGAGACTGTCACGACCCGATTTTCGAGGCTTCGAAAAACTGAATCGTGACTAAAAAGATGAAAGCGAAAACAAATGAAATTAAAAAAAAGATAAAATAGGAGATGAAAATTTAATAAAATTTAAAACAAGAAAAAAGTCAATGACATCAAAATTAAAGTCAAATATTACAAACTAGAAATACAATTATGAAAGAAAAATACAAAAGACTCTAATAGACTGACGCTCCGGAACGACACCCCTCTGTGATAATGCAGCTCTCGAACACCTCCCCACCTCGACTAGTACCTGAAAAAAAGAAGGGAAAACAGGGTGAGTATCAAAATATACTCAGTAAGCAACCTACTTGTAGGCTCTTAATCGCATCTAAGTTAAGGAGAGAACCACCGACTATACTATAGACCCTAGAGTCTCAGTACTCTCAGTACACAGTTCAAGGCAGAAGGACTTGACTTTTAAAGCAGTATTCAACGTTTGAGGATGAGGTGCTCCCTCATATCTTCATGTACCACTCGTACATCCCAACTAGAATTAGTCACTGCATGGTCAACATCCTTCCATAGGACGAACCATCATGCAGGCGACCTTGACCCACTCGCGTGATCACATCTTTCCATGAGACGGATCTCCATGTAGAGTAGTCGATCTACCACTGAGTAACACTTCCCTAACAGGCGTCTCGCCAAGCTCAACAGTACCACATTGGAGTAGGAAGGGAAGAGTAACACCTCCCTAATTGGCATCTCGGCTAGCTCAACGGTACCACACCGAAGTAGGAAGGGAAGAGTAACATCTCCCTAACTGGCGTCTCGCCTAGCTCAACGGTACCACACCGGAGTAGGAAGGGGAGGGTAACATCTCCCTAACTGGCATCTAGCCTAGCTCAACAGTACCACACTGGAGTAGGAAGGGAAGCAAAGTATACTCGAATTCTATACCAGATACTGTCGGCTAAGAAGTCATCTCTCTACACCTCGGGGTCCTAATGTGGTTCTCTATATCTCAAGGGTAGTTAAAACGATTGAGTTAGAGGCCCTGGCTTCCAGATTCACTAAATCAAGTCTCCCAAGTCCATAACAGTCCAGGATTAAAGGGTTTCTCCTTTTAAGCATCGCTCACGACACCATAGACCGTAACATCAGGAGGGTCCCCTAACTAAACCCAACTCAATCCCTACAAGAGTTCACCCTAGGCATTTCACAACACTACAACTTATTAATCATATCATAAGTTCACACAATCATTCAAGAGAAGTTTATGTATGATTAACAACGCATACAATCATACAAGCTCAACGGGGCGGTAACATCCATCAACACCCGGAGCGCCTCGATCCCTACGAGAGTTCACCCTAGGCATATCACAACATTACAACTTATCAATCATATCATAAGTTCACACAATCATGCAAGAGGAGTTTATGTATGATTAACAACGCATACAATCATACAAGCTCAACGGGGCGGTAACATCTATCAACACCTAGAGCGCAGATACACAAATTCCCCCGTTCGCCAACATAGTATGAACAAATAGAAGCAGTAGTAAGATAGTCCAGCAAGCATACAAACGAGTACAAAATCTCACTAGGGCAGCAAGTCCAACAGATATATATTTAATTCTCTGAGTATAGAGGATCATTAGATCTAGCCACATTCGGGTAATTTGCTCTAGCATGCATGCAAAACCAAGCGCACCTTACAAGTATTACTTCCTAAATTCGTATGGTTACTTACAGAATGTCGCGTGCCTTCCCGAGCTTGATTACAGTCGTAACAGAATCCAAAAATTATGAATTATCTATACAGAGACCTAGTTCACAGTAAAATAGGATTAGCACGGGAATCGAAACGAAAATCGGTCAAATAGAGGTCGAATAGGCTGAAAACAGCAACTCACGCGCATGCACGCGCTCACACGCGCGCGTACGGACACGCATGAGGAGGGAAGACGCGCGCTGAGGTATTGCCACGTGGCGCCCGATGAACGGTCAGCCGTGGACGAGTCGTAGGTTCGAAACCGGGAAGACGCGCTGGAAATTTGAATTCTTTTACGCTGACGCGTGGCAACGAGGAGCCGGGTCGGTATTCCAGGTTGAGCGCGAGTCATCGGGTCGTGGACTCGGGTAGCGGGCCACCGGCCTTCGATCCAGCTCCACGCGAAATATTTTTTTGATTTTCTTCTCCAATGGACGCTTGACACGTGTCCCATTTTGTTTCCCAATGCTATTTTTGGCCTCGTCTTCTCTGAAAACTTGTAAGACTCTTCCCCTAAAGTGTTGCAACTAGATTATTAAGGCCCCAAGATCTATGGTAAAATCTTGAAATAGGAGAGGTCGCAGACTTACCTCGTGTTCTTGCCCGTTTCTTGCTGGAAACGAACGATCCACACTCAGACCACTTCTCTTGATACTCTGAATAGCTGTAGTAGGAGACCTAAGATTGAGGGTGCTTCGGTTTGGGTTTGAGGCGTTTCTCCGTCCTCCTTCCTCTTCTTAAGAAAACCCTAACGGTTCATTTATCTTTCTCTCTCTCTTTTTTTTTTTTCTTTTCTTTTCCTTTCTTCAAGTCTGTCCAGACCCCCTAGGTAGTATGTGTGAGGCAAAATTACCTTTTTGCCCCCGATTGACTTTGACCCAAATTTCGATTACTTTACCATTTTTTTAAAAAAAATTCTAAGTTCCTTGATGCATCCGGAGCATTTCTTTCTTCTGGAACGATATGAAAATCACACTCTAAGTCCTCTAATAAAATCTAGAAACTCACAATGGATAAGAAGGTGCTGGTCACAAGGATAGAGTGAATTGTACCTATTGGGCTTGGGGTGTTACAGAAATGGAGAATGTAATTCTTCCTTGAGAAATCTCTATCCACTCCCTCCCAAATACCTTATTTAAATGAAGGTCAAGTCTTAGGACTTTAACCCATGAATTAAATAGATATCTCTAATTGAGTCCCCATATACCAAATCTTCCATTTATTTACAATGTCTAGATAAATAAAGATGACAAAATTAGGCATAATTTGGTCTTAGATTTATAACATAAAACATTTCCATGAGTTATGATTCATTAGACCATAAACCCACATTAGATATCACATTTGGGATCTTACACACACACATAAGTAGACTTACATATAATAATAGACCCACATGCATCCTTATAACCCATATGTAAACATATTACACATATAATTTCTTATTTAGAACAAACCAAGTAGAAAACACAGCCAAACTTAAGATCACTCCCTTCATTATTGTAGGATTTTAGTTCCTGGAGAAATAAGCATCCACCCCTTTTGAGATTTTGGCGAACAACTCCAAGTAGTTTTGTGGTGAGGCCACATTTTGATTTGCCTTTTCAAACTCAACAGTCCATTTTGTAAAGTTTCCTCTTCTCACTTTGCTTAATCCTCCATTAACAACTTCAAATTTTGCTCTTAGCACTTTGAATTCCTTTAGTGGATCTCCTTCAACAGCTTCATAGATTATGTATTTCTTCGCATCATCCACAACTCTTATTGCCCATTTTTCTGCTCTAAGTTCATCTCCTGTTTGATTATATTCATAAGAAAAGAAAAATCGAAACAACAAGAAAAATGAAAAAAACATAATCAAATAGCAATACTTCACAATAAACCCTAATAATTAACAAAAATGAGCAATTTCAATCTTTGAAACTTTTAATTCTAGATCATTTAACATGTTTATTTTAATTTTCTTAGTTTGAAATTAATAATTATATCGACCCTTATATTAAAGTTACATAAGTAAGTCGAGATTAGAATTTGCTATAAAAAATATTGAATAATAAAATAGTAGTTAGCAAGAACGTAATTAGATGATTATATCATTGTATCTCAAAGTTAAATGACTAAAATAGAACGTTTCAACCTATCTAAACCTAATATAACGGGAACGATATCTCTCACCCAATTGGAATTTAAATTGAACAACACTGCCACTTGATAAATGTTGTCCTTCCACAAGTTGAATGCTCTGGTAAGTCTCAGGAAACAAGCCCACCAAATCTCCCAAATGGTTCCTGAAGAACCCATAGACCTTCTCTGGAGAAGATTTTAGGTCAACCTTTACCCAAATGCTATCAGTTTGGACCATTTTCTTTTGATGTGATGCAAACTTGAAGCTAAGAGGGGGATTTTATAGCCAAGTTGGGTGAATATTTTAGGAATTATTTTAATCGTCATTGATCAATAATTCGAAAAGTTAGGTTAGGAGTGCAAATAAAGTCTCATATTAATTAGAAAATGGATGAATTATCTTTATCGATATGACATCTTTCTGGTGAAACTAAAAGAAGAGTTGCGAGGGTTTGTGTCCAAATTAGATCATATCAGCAATAACATTTGATAGACTAATAGCATAAATGTGAGATCCCATATCAATTGGAGAAGGAAATGAAATGTTCCTTACAAGAATGTGTAAATCTCTCTCTAGTAGACGCGTTTTAAAATCGGGAGACTAATGATGATGATACGTAACGGGTCAAAACGAACAATATCTATTATTGGTGACTTGGGATGTTACAATAAATATTATGAGCATGTTAAAAATCTATCAAGATATCTATTTTACCCCCTCGAAATTGTGAAAAATCTCTGTTCAAACAGTAAACAATTAAGGAGTAAATATAGATTTATCCCCATTAACTAAATGGGGTCGGGAATGGAGATTACATTTCTCATCCTCGTTCTCCTCTCCAACCTTGTCAAAATCTCCACCCGACTCGTCTTGCCTAATTTTTTATATACAAATATAAATAAATATATGTATAGATAGATATATAAAATGAAGAAAATTTTTCTACACGGATTTCGAGCCCCTAAAATTCTCCACGGTAAATTTTCACCTCAATTCCTTAAAAAAAAAAAAAAAAAAAAAAAAAAAAAAAAAAAAAAAAAAAGTTGATATGATGAAGATCAAAATAGGTGGTGGGATGGAGGAAGACATCTCTATTCTACTCAAACTTCATGAACATCTATATGCATCACGAATGAGGTAAACGAGTATTAGAAGATAGCATAGAAGGAAAAGATTTTAAAATTAGTATATTATTTACAATTACATAATGTTAGTGCCAATATACTTGCCATTAATTGGATTTTGTTTGCACTATTTTCAAGTTCCCAATATTTTATTAGAAATTAAAGGTTAGTTTAAGAACTTTTGATTGTCTTTTGAGTGGTACATCCACTACACAAAGCAATTAGATATTAAATACTTACCTTATAACTTACCATTAGGCTAACAGCTTCCTTCAATAATCCCTTTATTGCACTAAATTAAGCGTACATTATTAATTATCCACTCAAAACAACAGATTAAGTTGTAAAAGACAATTATTTAAACAAAAATTTACAAAAATATTTGTCTTTTCAAAAAATTTTTAAGAATGATATTTGTGTTTCTCAAACTATTTTTAAGAATAATTTTTCACTAATTTCATCTTGTGACATTACAGGTTGGGTAGGATTAATTTTTTTAGTTTAGGGTTGGGTTGAATTTTTGAAGAATCCAACATTTGGATGAGCTTGCCAGTTGACATTATTTTAGTTTGGTCAACTTGACCAACCTAAAAATAGGGTTACAGTCCAACTCTACCTTACCATAAAACACCTAAATTGCTAATGCTTAGTCCCAATTTCAGTTAGTCCTTTGTGTCCCTCGAATTTCTTTGAATAGTTTAGTTTTTACCATATAAGTAGATATAAATAGATAGGTACATAAAAATAGACTTAAAATCACATTAAGATTCATTTATCCATTTTTTTTTAGGCTGACGTTGCTGATAACAGATTCATTTTGACTAACTACCATAAGATTAAGAACCACGCTTTTGATTGGAAGGCACCTTTGTCTTTCTTCTCTTATTCTTAAACCTTTAGCTCAAAGAGAACTCGAAAATCAAGAAAGATGCAAAAAAAAAAAAAAAAGAGTGTTCAACTCAACGGGAGGCTAGTCAACATTGAAGTATACAAGTAACCCACTAGACATAATCATCTAATTCTATTAATTTTGACGTTTTAGGAATTCGAACACAAAATCTTCTACTCTTATATCAATTAAATTATGAATCGATTACTTATTAATAAATTTAATCATATTAATACTTGCTATCAATTTGGGTCATTTTCTAAGCTAAGAGAGAGTTTATGGTGAATTTGGTGAATATTTTAGGAATGATTTGAACCAACTTTTTATCATTTTTTAAGCATTCTTGTAATGAGTTGATGATGAACACTTCGGTATCTTTTATTTTTCCCACTAACTTTATTTTAAATTAAGTATTAGAGTTGTTATCCGTTACATAAAGCAAGATGTGTAAAGTAATGTTTGTTTGTTGGTTCCACTTACTCAATTTAGAAAGTAATAAAATAATAATGTTTGAAGTTACGTTTTCATAGTGATCTTACACGTCTATTAAAAGTATCTATTTTTACTTGATGATAGTCTTTCAAGTTTAAGAGAAACCCTAATTGTTCTTCTTATTAATACATCATTATAACTTCATAGGAATCAACTGAAAACTTCTTTTTTTATGTAATATTCAAAGGACGCCTTTCAACTATTCATGTATCTTAAGAAAAGAACTTCAATGTACTTTGAAAATTCTATCTAAATATTATAAATTCATGAAGTAGATAATACATAAACACTTCAAGGAAATCGTGTTTGTTCGTCATTGTTATAGTAGAGATAAAAATGTGAGGTTAAATGTAACATCTGAATTTCGATCAGAATTATTTTTTTTATTTTTTTTTTTAAAGTTCTAACTTTTGAGATTTCTTTGAGTGCCTTAAAGGTAGAACTTCAAGATTACGCCTAAGAGAAAAATGATTAGAAAACTGTTTAGAAAAATGCTGGAACCCAAGAAAACTATAGATGAGATAGAGCTTTTTCTCCATCTCACCAAACTTACCGTTGAGATCGTGAAAGTAGGGTGAAATTTTTCCTGACAAGATTTTGGTGTCAACTGTTGTCGTCTATGAGGATGAGAGTGATTTGTCAAAGATGCATGATAAAAAAAAATAAAGATCATATAGAGTTTGTTCCTGATCTCACTAAATTTACGGTTGAGACAGTGAAAGTCAAGTGAGATTTTTCAAGATAATATTTTAGCATCAACAATTGACGTATGTGGGGCCGTGAAAGTCTATATGAACGAAGAATAAAGATCATATAGACTTCTTTATTCACAAAAAATAAAAAAAATATTTGATATTATTCAGAGGATCACTTTACCTTCAAAAAAATTTATATCATCTTTCTTCTAAAAAATCATAAATCTCAAAGAGTGTCACCGATGATCACGTCTCCTTCGGTTCATATGTGACGTAATGGCCCTATAATTTCAAAAACTCAAATACCATAACATTTTTAAAAAATATACATTTATTTGTTTATTTACCAAGTAAAGAAATAAAGTAATATATATAAAAATAAATTAGTTTTGTATCCAACTTCCCATTTATATAGATATATTTATATTTATATATAAAATTCTCATGAGATAGGAATTTGGAGAAGGTCGAATCAAAGATATGAACGGGAGAATATAATTTTCATCCTCAGTCTAGCTAACAGAAAGAAATCTATGTCCTTTCCATCCCAAATACCCCCTTTAAATGAAGGGCATATCCACATAAGATCTTTACCCCCATAGATCAATGAAAATCTCTAATTGAATTTTCACATATCAAATTGTAATTTAATAGTGCCCTTAAACCCAACTTTAAATATTTGATAACACTCAATTTAGATATGATTTGTGGATAAATAAAAACGATAAAGTCAGGCATAATTTGATCTTGGATTTATAACATAAAACATTTCCATGAGTTATGATTCATTAGACCAATAAACCCACATTAGATATCACATTTGAGATCTTACACACACACATAATTAGACTTACATATAATAGATACTCCATAGCCCCACATGCATCCTTATAACCCATATTTGAACACATTACACACATAATTTCTTATTTAGAACAAACCAAGTAGAAAACACAGCCAAACTTAAGATCACTCCCTTGATTGTTGTAGGATTTTAGTTCTTGGAGAAATAAGCATCCACCCCTTTTGCGATTTTGACGAACAATTCCAAGTAGTTTTGAGGTGAGGCCACATTTTCATTTGCCTTTTCAAACTCAATAGTCAATTTTGTAAAGTTTCCTCCTCCTACTTTGGTTGATCCTCCATTAACAGCTTCAACTTTTGCTCTAAGCACTTTGAATTGCTTTAGAGCCTCTCCTTCAACAGCTTCATAGACTATGTATTTCTTCACATCATCCACAGCTCTTATTACCCATTTTTCGACTTTATGTTCATGTCCTGTTTGATCATTATATTTAGCTCGTTTGATATCGATTTTGTTTTTAATTTCTATCTTATTTTGAATCTATCGTAAATTCTTGAGTTTTGACGATGATTCCAAACCATCAAATATGTAGAACTTTCAATATTTTCTCAATTACACGTTCAATATATTCTTGAGTTTGTTGAAATTTATTTATTTTAGCCTTAATTTTAAAAACTAAACGTGTGTAATAATTTTTTTAAACCAGCTCAATTGGTCTATAAATTTTTATTGTTTTATTAAATAATAAAAGACAACTCTAAAATATTTAAGTTATTTTAGCTAAGGATGTTGAGTGATTTATTTAATTTTTTTAAAATAAAAGTAAAAATTTAGTAGGTAAAATATCTATTTATTTATTTATTTTTAAACGGTGAATCAAGATATACTATTCAATTTCAATATAAATGGTCAAAAATTTCATTTCAAACTCTTAAAATTTTATTTTCAAGAGTTGGGAATAAATAAAAAATAATATATATATTTATATATAGATTAAAATTATATAAAATAAAATAAATAAATGTATATATAATTTATATTGAGAAAAAAAATTATGTTTTAAAAAATTAGATATAAATTTTTTAGAACATAATTTTTATTTATTTATTTGGACACAGATCAACTCCAATAAGACCCAATCTAAACTATAAAAATTGATATTAGAATTGGCTATAAAAAAATATTAAATAATAAAAAAAAGTAGTCCGGTCAGAATGTAATTAAATGACCATATGTTTTATC